AAGATGAGAATGACTCTCAGAAATGCCTCGTTCAGTTAAGATGTACGGTTATTTCATGTCAGTATCTCGTATCGATTATTTTGAGAAATTTCTCATCTCGCATCAATCGAGATGTCAGCCATCTTCTATCATCTCGTCTCGTCTCGTTTCGAAATTATTTCATGATGCAGATCCTAATTTGAGAACTTCATTTTCATTTCATCGCTAATATTTCATTTCACGATCTCACACATTTCTTCATCCGGTTATCTATTGCGCTCTCTTCCTATCCCAGTTCTAATCTCGATATCCGGATGCTTCGGTAATCGCAGGGTTTACAGCTGCTTGCAGAATGGTCGTAGAAAATCATTTTTCAAATTTATGCTCGACCTGGTGAGCATCGTATGAGTCTCATGCAATTTCAGGCCAACGGAATCAGTGGACGTCTCGATGAAGACTACTTCAGATCGCATAAACCGTGTGCTAGAGGTCCAGCCTTTTTCAACATAAGAGAGGTCATCAAAGCGTTGATTTAATCCGTTCATTGCGCTTACTTCACTCATTCAAATTTATGTTGACTTATCTCTAATCTCACCCTTTTTTTTATTGCTTATCGATGTATTAATTTGTGATATTTCATTTAAATTTCTATCAACTGGAGAAGATTCCATCGATTTATCGCACACTTTTCCATGCTTTCCTTAAGTTCCCACTTCCACGTCAGCAATATTTTACTCAACTGAGGGGTTCAACTGAAGTAATGGTCAGAATTTCAGGTGACGGCTCGAATCCGTGTTCCGCCGGGCGATTATGTGATTATTCCGTCAACGTTTGAACCAAATCAAGAGGCTCAATTCTTGCTTAGAATATATACGAATGGTTTCATAGAATCAGAGTCAGTTCCCAGTTGTTTTCAAAAAAAATTTCTGTATTCTTAAGTATTTTCTGAAGGGCATGATGCAGAGCGATCTTATGGATAATATCTCTATAATCTACACGTAATCATGAATTGAAATTTCATTTAGTTCAGTTATTCATTTTCAAAGTTTTCATCCTTTCATATATAACTGTCGAAAACATTTGATTTCTCAATTTCATTCAATACGATTTCATTTCTGATACTTCTTGATTACTGGTGAATCGTTCCGACAATTGATCACTTTTTTAAATGGAATTCTCAATGTGAAATTCTTATTTCAGGGAACTTTGATCAAAATTTACTCGTTCGACGATCGATGCGTCATGCTTCCTTAGCCATTGCTCGGTGAACGCTTTTCGTTTATACCACCTTTAATATACCAAACTTTTTAAATCGTTGACGAGACTGATGCGTTTCGTTGGTGATCTTCTATTAGCAAACATAATTATTTCTTCAGTGAACGTTTGATTATTTCACGAGAGATCATTACTGCATCCAATTTTAACTGATTGATCGTTGGTATTATCTGTTGTCGCATTATTCACATTGTTGTTTGTAATGAATCCAGAATTATCCAATTTTCATAACATTGTGCAATGCTCCTTTTTCCGTCAAATTGAGTATTTTATTTCCTTTCGATCTATTTTTTATGAATTTTCTTGACTGTTATAGCTTATTTTTCAAAATGCATTTGTTGTGTTTTATATTTCACAATATTTTACATTTCTGTGGCTTTTTCGCAGCTCAATTTTTGAATTATTATATCAAGAGTTTACATTAACAAAATTGAAGCTTCTTGAAAAAACTGAT